TCTGGTGAAAATTTCATGTCATTAGCACCTCTAGTAATATATTTACTGAGAAAAATGGTGACGTGTTCAATACTTATTTTACCCGCTGTATGATCCTATGTTTCTGATGTAAACATAGAATCAGAGCAATTTTTAAACTCAACTTTCCTACTGTGTATTTCCAGCTATTAAAATGTAGCATGACCCGGTTGCCACATGACCTGTTCACCTGTTCCCCCATGTTTTGTCATGTGTGTTTTTCTTCAATGGGTGTTCTCATATGTAATTTCATTGTGCTCTGTAGAATGACAATAAAGTCATCATCATCATCATCATCATCATCATCATCATCATCATTGTCATCATCACCTTGCAGATAAAATAATCAACATACAAAGATGCAGTTATGGTCAGTGCTGGATTTAAAGCAGCATATGCACATTAATACATATTTGAAGCTCTAGCAAGCCACAAACTATGCTGTTGCAGGCCACATTTGGCCTGTGGTTTTAAAGTTTGGCACGTAGGGTACAACATTGTGGCACTGGATGATGTTTCTGACTGTAGTTAATGTCTTCTTACTGCTAAACATACTTAGATAACCATTAATCTAGATGTACTATAGGTGTGAGGAATCTACTGAAACCTACATTTTTGATTCATCTTCTACTTTTACTTTTACACAGGTTTGGACCCATCATGGTATATTCAACATGTGGTGGTATGGGACCCTCAGACAGATCACATGTTCTTCTTTGTGCTGGAGGACTGGCTATCTGTAGACAATCAAAAGAACAGCACAGTAGAAAGGGAAGTCCTAGCTTCATGTAAGCCTAATTACATTTGTTTCAGCCCATAAGTGCAAAATGTCTCTTGCTGTCATGCCTTTATTATAATCATGCAGGCTGATCTACTTTTATTTAGAAATTGATAAATTTCCACCATTAATACCATATTTTARCCTTTTGGTTTACATTTTAGCCATTCAGTTTGTCCTTCCCAGGTCCAGAAGAGCTCACCCAGTTTCAACGAGTCCTCACCTCCCAGCTGATATTTGGAATGGCAGAGAGACATTTGTGGTTGTCACTATGGGAACGACCTGCTCACAGCTGTTTCACCAGGGGTCAGAGAGTTGCCTGTTGTTCCCTAGCGCTTCACCTTTACCTGGCTCTGGGTACTCTGTGGTTTGGGGCTGTTGGGATGGAAAAACACAGGTGAGAAGATATGCCTCAGCAAACTAGTAAAATGCCAGACTGCTTATATTTAAAATTTAAGTCCTGGAGGATTAAAAAAATGCAAGTGATTAATATTCTTCTAATACAAGTGGACTTTTGTCAACCTATCTGCTGGTAAACTGGGAGACGGTTACCRTGGGGATGGTCATCGCCTTGTTAGTTTTCCCGTTCCAGTGTTTCCTCGGTTTCATGTTTAGAAAAGCTCACAGTCAGGTAACTCTGCCAAGTTTCAAAATACTTTAACAAAGACGAAGATGCACCACATTTTTTTGCACTACAAATTTCAGATGTGTGTTGATGTGTGGTTGTTACCCAGGTTACTTTAGACATGTCCATTCCTCCTTCTCCGGCTTCTCGGTCTCTGGAAATAGACATCTGCCACATCCAATCAGAAATTTCCAGCCCCTCCTTCTTGTCTTTTCCAGAATCTTCTGGTCTTTTCCAAGAAAGTCCTTCATCTGTGAGAGCACATGCAAACACACAAAAGCACATTTCTTATTTTGCCTTGTCTTATTGCTTGGAATTACAGTCCACATTTTCTTCTGTCTGACTGTAGCTTCTGGAAAGCAAGGCATTAGACTCTAGTATCCTGGACTTCTGGACTGCTACTGGCTTGGTCCCACAGATAGAGGGACCAGATCTAGGGGATGTGACAGCATGGCCATCACATGATCGCTTCCCCGGTTTGCCTGAAGGCTCAGACCTCTTAAAGATGACCCTAGCCCCTGATCTCTGCAAAGTCTCGTCTGTGCAAGTGCCTACTCGCCAGCTGAAGAGGAAGAAGGCTGTGAAACAACTCCACCTGGCTTCAAACACATCTCCATTCCATCACTCTGCTCTTCTTTCTTCATTGTGCTCACACTCCTTGACAGAAGACAGTTTCCGTTTCAACAACTCTTCTCAGCCATGTCAAAAGTCTCCCCACCTGAGTCCCAATCCAGTTAATGTTTATAACCACAATAAGTCAACACTTCTAACTCTGTCTGGTGAGTAAATTTGTATATATTTTACCTTTACATGTTTTTGAGAGGTTTTTGCCAAAGTTGTTGCAAAATTCTTGTAAAGCCAATGACAGAATGGTCCAAATTTAATTTAATCAAAATTATTCTTAAAAATTATTGTGTGACTATGATCTTGTTGCCAGAAGAGAATCTTCTGATGTCAATAGCTGCAGCAGAGGGTACTTCAGATGCAATCAACAGCAACTCAGACAGTGGCCGGGACTCTGCAAAAATGATGTCTTCTTTCACAGCCTCGTAAGAAGCAGCTCTAATGCCTTCTATTTGCCTCTGAAAACAGTTTTGTGTTACAGTTAAACTTTCTCTATTGACTTTTCTAGGCCAAACACTTCTTGGAGCAGCTGGTCAGAAGAACAGGATTCTTCGGACTCCCTGGATGAAGCAGAAATCAGTCAACCAGATGCTGAGGCTAACCCCTCCCTATTTGAGGAAGTCTCTCATAATTGGTCCTCTGTGCGGTCAATGGACTCGATGGCAAGCACCTTCTTACCAGACCCTTTGCATGAATCTGTCCCTTCCTCCTCTACCACACGTATAGGTAACTGGTCAGATTTATGGTCATTAAAGTTTACTCTCTTCTCACAGCAAAAAGTACTTTCGCCCTTAGATCAATAGACCTGCTTGTGGCTTATTGAGGATTCTATATTGAATATACAGTAGGTGTGTGAGAATGCAGAATTGTCTGTTTGTGTTAGCAATAGTGACTGGTTTCCCAGCATAAATCCAGCTTTTAAACGCAGTCCAAAAGTCTTCAACTGAGCTGAGGATGGGKTTTTTTTTTTTTTGGCAAAGTTGTCCCTGAAACCTTAGTCTGATTTCTTCAATCAGAAACCAGTTTTTCACTATCATTGTATTTTTGGAACACCCAGCTGCCACCACCATGCYTCACAGCTGGTGCAGTGTTTCTAGGTTTAAAAAAATCTCATTATGACTCCTCAAAACATGTCATTGAGTTAAAATAATTCAATCTTTGTCTGTTCTGACCATAACACTTTTCTTCAGAAGACAGACTTGAGTCTTGTTGGTTGTTTCTGAACCCATTAACTGATTTTCTTTCATCTCATAGTAACAGCTGGGTTCTTCTACCAGACCATGGCAAAGCAGTGACTCATAAGAATAATGTGTATTAAATGATAGTTCAAACTTACAAACAGTTATCTGAAGTGATGATTTTGGAATCTCTAGTTGTTTAGAAATTGCTGTAAAAAATTCTAACTTGTGTACTGTAAATTTGTTTTGGTTTAGTTGCTGAGTGTTGGTATATTTAATAAGTCTTGCCAACAAAGCTAGTCCTTTTTAGCAAGCAGTAATAATTACCAGCTGCAGTCAATCAGGATCATTATCAACAAGTTCGTAGGCCTTGTCAACAAGTTAAGAGGTATTTTTTTATTCTCAAACTTATTCATTTTTTGCCTTGTTTTTCCTCTGTAGGTGTTGCTCGAGGTCAGCCAGGCTGGTTCCTCCCTCCATGGGCTCTGCGTCTTGTTTACCCATTCATTGCTCTCCTTATTGGTGCCTGCCTGGCAATGGTGGGACTCTATGGAAGTCTCTTCTCCAAATCAGTATTACTCATGTGGCTGGTGTCTGCTCTCACTGCATTTTTTACTTCTGCTGTACTGTTGGAACCTATCAAAGTGAGGTCAAACATGTGGCTCAGCTGGCTCTTAGATCTGTAAAGGAACATTCTTTTCATTTGCACCTCCATCTCCCTTGAACAGGTGTGTGTGCAAGCCTTGGTTTGCACTGTGATGTGGGGTCCTGTGGATCCAGAGGTAGAAGAGTTGCTGGCTCAAGAGACCACTGTGGTCAGGACAGCAGGAGAATCCAGTCGGAACATTCGACCTCCATGTGGCTATGGGCTACTACAGGCGAAAGAGGAGGCCCGCAAAATACAAGCTTTGCGATCTCTTATGCGGGCAAGAATAACAAAACAAAACATCTAGAATAAAAAAWTTTTTTCTAGAAATATGTATTTGTTTTTAGTTTTTATGCATTTTTGCATTTTTAGTTCATAAATACTTCTGCATACTCTGTCCTATTGTAATACACCAAAACATTCAGCTCATTCGGTTATTTTTCCAACTTTTACAAAYCAAGCCCAGGCCCAACTTTTTAAAATATTTCTGATTATTTTCTACATAGAAACAAAATAAAAACTCCAATTCCTTCAGAAAACATTGCTCTCTTTAAAGTCAACTTTAGCTTTCTTTAGCTTCTACTTTTAGCTTTTAGCTTATCTTATTACATTTTAGTTTTGTCTTGCTTAAGGGGAGTGGTGTCGCAGAGGTTAGAGAAGATGAACCAGTAGGTTCAGGAAGGATCAGGATCTGTAGGTTGCTGGTTTGAATCCTATAAATATTAGATGAAAATTATGGTGAAAGGTGAAACACTCACACCTGCTTCCAATCTTTGCCCATGTGCCCCACTTTGAACAAGGTCTTTAACTCCCCCAAGCAAACAAGATGGCGGCCCCCWTCTCCACACATGTGAGCTGTTGCAGATTGGTGGATGCCTCTGACTGTGGTGGCCCCTGATGAAGGGAACAGTCAGAACAAAAAAGTTGCTGCTTTAGTTCTTAGCTTTGGTTTTGGTACTGCAAACTTTAAGCTAGCATGYTACTAATTTTACTTTTAGGCTTGTGCTAYTTTTGATTTTAAGKTAGCAWTCTGCTTCTTTTAGCTTTAGCAACTCAGTTTCAACTTCTTTGGCAAAATACATCTAACTCATTTAGTAGCTATTTAGCATTCACATTGCATTTTCACAGAAAATGCTATTTCTCTAATTATTTTTAAATTCTCTTGTATATTCTCTGCAGCACTGTGTTTGCCAGCTGGTATTTTTACTGCTGGTGCTGATGGTGAATTACCAGGACAGGTTGGRGCAAACCCAGGCCCAGCTGTTGCGCATCACCATCAGGCAGCATCTTCACACAGCACCTGTAGGATTCCCTAACCTCACCTCACTTAAAGAGTAAGAAAAACATTCCACTTCAACTTTGAACTAAGGCTATACTGAAAAATACAGTAAAATGAGAGTTAACAGTAAAGAGCTAAGTTAATTAAACATTTATATGCTAGCTGTGATGATGATCTTGAATTGAATTAATTCCAAAAGTAAATCATATACAGTATGTATACCCAGTGGATATTTTCTTTATTTTATTCAAATCTGTTCATTGGTTTACAAGATATTTTGTTAAYAGACAGGCAGTGTGTTTAGGGTTGGTTGTGATTAAATAAAAAAGGGTTTTAGTGTTACTGACATGTTGGGTTTGCTGGGTTTTTAATATATGCTTTCTTAATATTTTTCAGTCTCAATCCTTGATTCTTTATTCTGTCATCCAGCTGGTCAGAGGCAGAGCAGTGGATCAATTACACAATGGTGAAGCACCTCCACCAGAACCCCCTGCTGCAGCTTGTAGGGCTTCCTCGGCTGCAGTTCACCCAAACACCTGGTGACTCCAGGACTGGCCTTTTAGGTAACAACAGCTCAACAACCCACCAGCTGCTGGCTGACATGCACATCTCAGACACAAACAGGAGAGGGTAAGTTGGTTTGTTACAGGTGCAAAACTGCAGCTTGCAGATATTTTTATTGATCTTTTTCATTCAAGAAATTGTTGAATTCTTTTTTTTTTTTCAAAGGTAAAAAGTTGTTTTGCTTTGTTAGAATCAGAGAAAAGTCAAATCAGGGTGACTTTTTTTTACTTCTGAAAAACTTGTGGATCTGAAACTAAACAGTCCAGGATTCCATTTAGAATTTCTTTTTTAAATCACCTAACATCTAAATGCAACAAAACAAGCTATAATGATGTTTTCATGTCTATCTGTCAGCAAAATTTTTAAGTCACTCAAATTGACAGATGTTAAAATTATGTCAAAACTTAATGCGATAGTAGCTAAGACTGATCCCCCACTAATATTTTTTTTCTAATGGTATGTAAAGGATTTTTGTTCTAAATTTGGTCCTCTCTTTCTTTTTGTTAACAAAGTATTTTATAAATAAGTGGATAGATTTTAATCAAACTTAGGACCTTGGTATACTCTTTTAAAATAAGATGTTATTTAAAAAATGTTCCATGCATGCTTCCTTTCTGTTAATTCTGTTTTTCTGTGTGCTTTTCTTTTTAATTTTATTTTAGGTATAAAACTGTTTCTATAGACTTTACACAGCATCACAGAGAATCAGGCTTGTTTATGTGTGTGTCTATACGACTGGAGCTGACTCGGACACRAGGCATCTCCTCTTTCCTCTCTGTCCTTCCACTCCTCATTCCYTCATCATCCTCAGGACTGGACCTTCATGTAGCCCTAACGGTAACAAATGAAAAAATGCAATATAAATTATAATGTATTTTTGATTTACTTAACAGACTGAACTGTTCTGCAGATTTTTCTCCTCGTCTCTGCTCTCCTCATCATACTTGAGGAACTGTGGGCTTTCGTTACGGAGCGTGCTCAGTATATCTGTCAGTGCCATCACTGGTTCCAGCTGCTCTTGAGTTTTTTGRCTTTTTCAACAGCTGTTCTGCAGCTCCGTTTCCTATCGCTTGCTTCTGTGTGTGTTTATAAGGTGAAAGAAAAATAAAATAAAAACATTTGGATCCACTTGCTGTACTTCTGCAGCAGCATTTAATGGCATGTATGTACCATTCAGATACAGTCCAAGTCGGACAACTTCATCAACTTCCAAGATGCTGCCTCGCTGGCAGAAAGGTCTTCTCAGTGTGCTGCACTGCTGCTCTTTCTGCTTGTTCTAAAAGTAAATACGACTTCCCATTCATTATTTTGTATCAACACAGGTTTAACCCTGTAGTCAATGCCTGCTAATTTCTGCTGCTGTGTACTCCAGCTTCTGGGAACCTTAAAGTTTGTGCGGAGGTGGGTGACGATAGGCAGAGTTCTGCAGAGAGTGCAAAGGGAACTGTGGGCTGTTGCTGTTCTGATGCTGCTGCTCCTTCTGATCTGCACTCACCTTGGAAACATGGTATGAAGTGAAATGTTTCACTGAAAAACACATTCCGGTGTTTGACATGGCTTTGTTTTTGGTTCAGCTTTTTTTTCAGTCATTTGATGGTTTCCTGTCAATGAAGGAAAGCAGGGTCTCAGTGATGTCCATGCTTTGTAACCAGAGGGTACTTCAAAAACTCTGCACGGCCCACCCAGTGCTGGGACCACTCTATGGACTACTTGTGTTTGGCAGCAGCATTTGGCTGCTGGCTAAACTCTGCGGAGCAGTTATTATCTCTACATATAGGTATATTAGTATTTTAATTACATGTTGAAAAAGATTTTTAGGGTGTTCCTTGCTAAGAAGTTAAACCTTGGTTTGTTTGTGTGACCAAACATTGTGATGTCATCAATAATTGTCATAATTTAGGCCAATCTAGGATTTGCTAATATTGATTATATTTGGCAGTCACCTTGAATCGAGTTGACCCCAAATGTTAATCAGTTGTGGATACACATCCAATGATTGTTGTATTTATGCAGTACAATGCGACTCGATATAATGTGACAACCCATTTTATGAGCTTAAAAAGCATAAAAGTCATAAAAAGCCTAATCCTCATGTATAATGCCCTAATTACCCACTTACCCCAGATTTTATACTACATGCGTCTCTGCTCCGCTGCGGTGCGCAGGTCGCAGCTGTTCATTTGTGTCTGAATGCATACAGACTCCGCTCCGCTCCGGTCCGATGGAGGAGATCGCGTGATAAATTCAGTGATAAATGTGGAAGTCACAGCAAAAAATAATTAATTCTGTGAAAGACGAACTCCAAACACAGCTGAAAACATTGATATAAAAGCTTTTGATATCTTTGATTGAAACTGTTTCGCTGTCGTCTTTCTGAAACTTCTGGTTTCAAAATAAATTCCATGTGTATCGTGTGTCCACACATATGCTTCATGCTACGTTTCCATCTGCTTCCCAAACAGGACAATACATTCTGACAGCATTTGTGTAGGAATATATCCATATATTTATTAAAATAGCTGCAATTTTGACATTATTCTGACAAATTATCCAGCCTAAAAGTGTCTGAAAATACGGATGTTGTGCTCATTTCTTTTCCTGTTGGTGCGACGTAATGTTTAAAAATTGACTCCGGCGCAGCTCCGGCGTACGGCAAAAATAGGATCTGTTCTAATTTTGACGGATCGTCRTTCGTTCACCGCCACTGTGCGCAGCCAGTGTAAATACTCTCATTGATTATAATAGGTGTGTATTTGCTGTGAAGGTCGGACTGGAGCGGAGCGGAGCTAGAACGCATGTAGTGTAAATTAGGGGTTACACATGACACGGATAAAGGAGGAGGCCGTGGAGGAGCAAAGACTTAGGAGAAGCAGCACATGTTTCTACATGTAACTGCTCTGAAAATGGTCCACTCCCAGCAGCCGGTTTTTAAATTAGCAAGATGCATAGCTTTGAGGAGTAGCTTGTCTGGTCCTATTGACCATGGGAACTTTCAACCCTATCTTTTTTTCTATCCATAATAATAAGAAAGGAAACAAGATTTTCCTCCTCGAACTTCTCATCCAAAACCACAAGCCTCTGTTCAAACGTCTGATACATCACTGGGTAAAAACAAATACTGCTGTTGTTTTTATGCTTGTCTATATGCAGCATATTTTACAGCAGGAGGTTAAAGGGAGAAATTACAATGATTCATCCCATTTGACTCAACATGTTAGGTTTATGGTACATTAGCAAAAAAAGTTGGTCAACATTTACTCCCAAGGCAAGTTTTTTTTATATAGCGCATGTCAGTAATAAGACAATCAAAGTGAATACATGATGAAAACATTAAAAGAAACAAATTACATTGACATAATAAAGGAAAGTAGAACAAGTTGGACCAAAGATTAATGAACTAATGAACTTTCAGTTAAAATTTTAAATACAACAGTCAAAGGCAACTCTAAACAAATGGGGTCTAAACAAATCAAGGTTACCTATATCAACAGTCAGCAATATCCTTTGTGACCTACAAGCATTATAGCTCATGTATCAATTTATATACTGTATTGTCTTCTAAAGTGTAACACATTGTATTAAATGTTTATATACTATGAAATTTTGTTATTGTGTTCTTAAGGGTAAAGCAGACTGAGTTGTTTCGTTTGACCATTGAACCTCAAGACTATGAAATGGTGGAGTTTTTCATCAAGAGACTCAAGCTGTGGATGGGACTAACTAAGGCCAAACAGGTAATACAACACCTTAGTCATGTCTATGAATTAYGTCAGTGGAAAGACTTCTAAACAAAAGTAGTGACAGCTAGCTGCAAACCCTGCCAATTGTAATCTTTTCTCCTTCCAGTTCAGACACAGGGTGAAATTCGAAGGCATGGACATCCCTCCTTCTAGATCTTCACGGGAGTCTAATTTCTCCAATCTGTCATCTATACTTCCCTCCTCTTGCTCCCCATCTTTGTCACCCTCAGTTTCATCCCCTCATCTGCCACCCTCAGTCCTCTCCATCAGGTCTGAAGACTCGCCACTTTCCAAGTCAAAGTTAGATATTCAGCCCATCCTGGACAGCTTGGAGCCTATTGTCAGTACTCTGCTATCTCATTTCGATCGAGTCAACCAGTTAATRAAAGAAGTTTATAATCTTGAAATTCAACTAGAGGAAGCTCAAGACAGGAGAAGAAATAGAAGGATAAGTAACAGTGAGAAAAAAGAAACAAAATTTGGAGCATCTTTAAAGTCCCAAGAACCAAAAGAAGAAAGGGTAACAGGAGAAGTTAGAYGCAGAAAAATGGGCCTTTTTTATCCAAAGTCACAAGTTTCATTTCCATGCTTCGATTCCTTTTCTCCATCCACATTACAGATCTCTGCTGCTTCATCGTGCAGTTTTCCACGTGTACGTAGCTCCTACTCTGAATCAGAGTCAAGACCATTTCAGTCTCAACTATCCAGAGGCAAGGCATCTTTAGGTGCCGCTATACCTTTATCTGCAGCACACATCTGCGCTTCATCATATTCCACTCTCCAGTTCCCCAGAAGAAGAGCATGGCATTCTGGGAGCTCTCATTCAGCTGATGCTGCTCAGAGGACCTCCCAGTCTTTAGGAGTTGCACCAAATGTTAAAGAAACTTTAACATTTACAAATACCAAACGCAGAAGTGAAGAGCAGGAGAGAAAAGGTATCTGCAATGGGTTTCCACTRAAGAGGAAGGCTTGGATCTCTGAAGCACCAGAAACTGAGGAAGATCCTATTTTCACACTGGAAGAAGACACAATACCTCCAATGAAGAATTTTATTTTGAATTAGAGCCACCGCTCATTAGTTGTCATCATCAGCTATGAGTTGACAAACAAATAGGCTGCAGATGTTCATTCCACTGTGCTGTAAATGATCCATTGTACAGGTTTCTGCTTAGTGTAATGTAGTCATAGGTTTGATTTACATTTGCCGTTGTCTAGGGTTCTCAGAGAAAACCCACAATAAAATTGTACATTGTTTCTCCATCCATCCATCCATCCATTTTCTTCC